CCGTAGTTTTTCCATTAAAAAAAAAAAAAAAAAAAAAAAAAAAGATAAGACACCTCGAATAAAAACTGTTGCGACGTCTTTGTTCGAAAATAAGTTGTAAGAGATGTTAGAACGAACGCGTTTGAAAAGCTGCAGGGTTTATTGCGACGCAGTTGAACGTGGTACCAGGGGGGGGGGGGGGCAGACCACGCGAGAAGCACAAAAATTTCCACAACAAAAGCCGCGGACGAACAAAACCGTCTCGTGGACACCCTACTTTTGATCAGGTAGTCACCTGAGCGCCCATGCTGTTTCCCTCTTTTGCTCGAACTCTCTCGTCTCTCCTTCTACCCGGCAGATACGATTTTCGCGTTAATAACGTCATATTCTCTGACGATTTCTTCCTTGTTGAGAAATAATCATTGGAGTGGAAACGAAACGCTCGTCGATATCGACGGATATCAACAAGCACGAGGATTAAGAAACTTGATTCCACGAAGGGTTAATGACAAGTGCAAGAGGTGGAACAAATCGGTGAAGCGGCCATATGTCGCGGACACGACGGATCCTTTCTCTCGTCTTCGCTTTTAGCACTGGTTTGCCATATGGCGCGCGAAACCGAGCTTCCTCAACTAAACCGTCCGTCGGTTTCTCGTCCTTTCCTTTTCTCGCTCTTCGAAAATTTCGTCTGTCAACACATCTGTTTCCTCGCCTAGTGAACCTGCGAGATAGCTGAGAAACTGCGCCCTCGATATCGAGAAGGGCGACGTGTCTACCTGTCCATATGCTCCGACGACGAGATTTGGGAACAAAGATCGAGATTACCTTTGTGCCTGGTGGATCTCCCTCCTTCACTGAAAGTTTTTCAATCGGCCGAAGAATTTCCAGCCAGAGGATTTTAAAAAGGAGGTCAGCTTCTTTTCGACTCTCTAAAGAATACACGTGAAGGGCATAAATCTCCCTTCTTCTTTTTTTTTGAAACGCACCACAATTTTCAGTGACTATACAGAGGGTATATATATGGTGCTTAAAGTTTTCGATTGGTCGACCTGCACGTGCAAAGGACACAGAGAGGACGAGAACGAGAGGGATGAAATTGCGTTGCATATCACTCTGCTACACGGACGGATAAAGGAAATGCAAATGCGATCGTAAGAAGACAGGTATTGCGACAGGTGGTGCGCGACCTTCGAAAGGTCCCCCGGTTGGTTGCTATTGCGTGTTCGCGGGCCTGATTTAATCGTGGGAAAAGACATCGAAGTCGTCGGCAACGGTGCAGAGCAAAGGCTAACAGGTGCTAGTGGAAAAATGGTTTGTTGCAGTGTTTCGCTCCGTTGACTTTTCACGGATCTTCTCTTGCACGCTTCTCTTCAGGTTGAAGAATAATTTCAGGAATTTATCGCGAATATCAGCCCTGTTGATCCATCTAAACCTAAAACATCTAACGTGTGAATACTTTTTTGTTTTCATGCGACGTTTATTTAAATCTACAGCTCGCTCAGACAGTTGACTC